TGTAACATCACAGGGTTTCAAAAGTTGGCAAATTTTTTTTTCCAATTCGCACAATTTTCAAAATTTTCAACTTCCCACAATTTTCAAAATCCACATTCTTTAAATTACTGAAAACTTTGAAAATGTTGGCTGCTTTGAAAATCATGAATCTTGTTTAAAATCATGCAAATTTTCGCAAATGTTTAAAAGCCCGTGATAACAATTGTTACAGCCTACTGTGAAATCCCCTTGAAGTTTCTTCAAGGAAGAGTTATTTTTTGTTTTTAAATCCTCGAACATTACATTATACTTTTCTACCTCAAATTCGAATCCACGATAGGTACTTCATTTTTCACGATGCCCTAAATTTCATTTCTTGCAATAACGCCAATCAAAAATGAAAAAATGTTGTCCACCAAGGTCCCACAATGTTTTGAGGTTGCTATGACAATGAGAAATTTCTAATAACCCTGTACTTGAATAGAAACTCGTTTGGATAATCTGGATAAATCGGGAGCGTAAATTCTTAATTCTGAACCCGATGTCAGTTACGGTTAAAAACACCCGCCCGTCCCTTAATTTCTATAGCCATAGTCCAATCATTGCCCCATTTTTTAGCTCATCAGAATGACCATAGAGATTTCAGAAATTATCAAAAAATTGGACATTATATTTCTGCGACCTTTGAGGACAACTGTGCATCCACTGGGTCGATTCCAATTTCCAAATAAAGAAAGCTTTTTATCCTGGCCAATAAAACAAAAATGACGTCAAGTAGGTCGACTCTGCACTTCTCACGCAACGCCGCCATCAGTTCATAAAGGATTATGTTCAGAACATGAGAACAAAAAACAAGGAAATTTAACGGATTAACTCAGTCAAATAAGTGCACACAATTACTCCATAGACATTCTTTCCCCACCCTACCGGTAGTCAACAGCGGCGGTCAGGCCGAAACACTCACCTAAACCGGCATGCTTACCGGTGATCCCAGAAAGCAGAAGCAGGTAGTATGCGTGTCGAAAACATTTTTCTATCATTCTAAGGGGAAATCTATTGTGTCAAGTATGTCTAACAGATGCGCAGAACTTTCGAGGTAGGGAGCCCTACTAACAGGTGGAAGAGCGCGGATTGACAACTAATGGTTGTCAATCAAGCGAACCTTGCCGTTTGCTCACTGCAGAGTTATGTACTTTTTCTTTTTCTGTACTTACATGAGCAATAAAAGCAATTTATTATTATTATAACATCAAAAAAATTGAGTAATTTCTCTGACCACCCCCTACAACGCCCCACCAATAATTTACCTCTAAAAACGTTTTCACAAATGACCAGGATCCTCTGGAACGTGGGTGCCCATTGGGGTTGGGGGTAATCAAGGAGGGGCATATACCCCCCTGGCTTCTGCTTCAAAGTGAAATATTCTTAATAAGATACCCAATCCTTGAGTAAGAAGCGGCGTGTGAGTTTTTTTGCTCTTCAAAACATCCCAACATAAAAGATATTATTTCTGCTACAATTTTGAATAGTTGCACCCCCACCAACGGGTTGGCTAGTTCTCAGCATTTTTTACCCCTGCACAACCTGATTTTGCTATATGGGCGGTCATGCTCTGGAACGTCAAATAACGAAGTTTGAGCGATGTTTAATTCTTCGTTTTTGTCCTTTTTCTTCGCCGCCACTGGGCAGATTTTCAAAAAATAATTCATCGTTGGAATAGTAGTAATCTTGTTTAGAAATTTCATCAAAATCCGACCGGTATTGGCGAGAAAAGGCTTAGAGGACAGACCGACAGACAGACGGATGGAAGTGAGCGACATGTTTTTTTCGTTATGTACATATAATAGACTAATCATATTAGCAAATTGCCCCGAAATAATTGTAAAGTCTGGTTTTATTGGTGCAAGTTAAATGTTATTTTTATGCGGAATACAAAGATTACGTTATTTTCTTCTAAATAAATTCAAACATTTCGTGTTTGTAATTCGACAAATGCGCAATATTCGGAGAGCATACGTTACTATACACATTTTAAAACAAAGCGGATGTGTCTATCATATTTTGTTGCGAATTACTCACAAATACGAAATGTTTGAATTTGGTTAGAAGAAAAAATGTAACTCTTCGTTTTTCGCATAAAAATAACAATTATCTTTCGGAATGCCTTATGCTTCATGTCGGTAAGGTGAACTCCTGTATCTTGTTATAAAATGTCCTTTAAAAGAATCCTGTATATTGCTCAATAAACTAGTAGTGTTGGCCGGAAAACATGTGTTTTGGGATAAGAAACTCTCAAAAACTACTTGACCAATATACTCCAACTCTGTTGTGGTTATTTAGACGTACGAATCCTATGCATTTGAAGAATTTCAAATATCTGCGAGAAACCATCGACGCATTACCAACAAGTGCCAAAACTTGCAGTTTACCTCGGTTTTCGACCATAACTTTTTTACGTATGGACTCATTTTGTAGGTCTCACTGTCTATTTCTTGCATTTATTTTTATCTGTGATCTAAAACTCATATTGTCATATTGCTATTATATTTTAACCAATATGTTTACATAACTTAAAATTATTTTAATTAAGCTTATCCGATTAACAAATTCCGACGACAGTCTGAATAATGAAAATATAACCTTATGAAAAAAGACCTCCCATATTCTCCCTAACTAACGGAGCTTTCTTATTTCGGTAAAGGATAACAGAGGATTGTCTCGCTACTGCGCAAAATCGCAATGAGCAGATTATAAGATGCAGCAAGACAACAGGACTGAAAACTCTATTGGCGACTTCTCAGATTGGTATTAAAAAAGTATATTTCCAGCCTACTCTTTTCAGGAAATTTTACAGCTGCCTACGCCACTGGCTAGAAAGACGTTGAACACGAGTTCAAAGTCCAAAGTCCACGTCTTATTTACGACATTTCAGGAGGCGATTTCAGGAAAATTACTTTGATTAGGGCATTAGGCCCCTCGTACATTAAATTATGTAAAATACTTCAGGAAATTGAAAAATTACTGTTCACAGGTAACAAATTTCAATTTTTTTTTCGCAGGCACCACGTATTCGTTATCGTGTTCAGTGGTGAATAAAAAATTTGACGGAACCTTGTTTTTATTTCATTATACTGACTGTTATCAAGCTCAGGCCTTCCTTATTTTCTGCGTAACGTAATCACCGTGTAGGCGTTCTTCATACTAATGAGCAGATAATTTACCGTATCTTTTTGTCTCTTCACGGAATCGCACACTGTTGTTTATTTACTTTCTAGATAGCTATAGGTATATAATTTTCAGAGTCTACGTAATGCTCTAGCTGT